GGCAGAAGTAGTATAAGTTCCTTAATAGGTCGTAGATACGCCTTCCTCTCTCCGTCTTTGATGATCTCTACCCTGACTTTCCTAACTCTGTCGTCCTCGCTTCGTATCACATCTCCTACTCTTCCCAATGGCCAGTTGTTACGATGCTGCTGCTCGTCTCGCACGAGCACTACGTCCCCCACGCGTAAATCTCGTCTCGTCTCGGTCCATTTCTGTCGAGGCTGTAGGCTTTGTAAGTACTCTCGTCGCCATCTTGTCCAGAATTGCTCAGCTAGAAACTGGACCCTTCTCCAGCGACGGCGTGCATAGATGTCGGCGCGTAGGAACTGGCCTGGTGGGGGTCCAGCTCGGCGTGTTTTCATCGTGAGTAGCATTGCAGGGGACAGAGGTTGTAGATCGTCATTGTCGGATGGCAGTGCAGATATCGGTCTGGCGTTGACTATGGCTACCACTTCGGCCATTAGCGTGACCAGTAATTCGTGCGTAAGTTGGGTTTTGCCTAGTTCAGCGAACATAGCATCCAGTCCACGTCGTATGGTGCCAATTTGTTTCTCCCATACGCCACCGAAATGTGATGCGTGGGGAGGGTTGAACTCCCATTTGCATCCGTGCTCCGTCGCGAATTTCTCCACCTTCTTCTCATCGAACTCAGGCGCCGCTTCTTGTAGCTCTGTGTTTGCTCCCACGAAGTTAGTACCACGGTCACATCTAAAGAGTTTGGCGTGACCGCGTAAAGCGAAGAATCTCCTCAGCGCGCAGATAAATGCGCTGGCATCCATGGCCTCCAGTACCTCTATGTGGATGGCTCTACTGCTGAGGCATGTAAACACTAGGCCCCACCTCTTAGCATTCGCGGCTCCTCCTCTCGTTTTCCGCGTTTGCACCGTCCAGGGGCCAAAGACGTCGAAGCCCACGTTAGTGAAGGGGGGGTAGACTTCGGTTCTATCGGGCGGGAGGTCTGCCATGCGCTGAACCAGGGGTGGTCCTCTTAGTTTCTTGTAAGGAACACAGGCTCCAATGATCTTCGTCACAATATCGTGACCTCCAACCAGCCAGAATCCTGCTTGCCGAATTGCTCCTCCAGTAATTTGCCTCCCTTGGTGGTGAACTTTGAGGTGGTAATGTTTCGCTACTAGCTGTGACACATGGTTATTCTTCGGTAACACGATCGGGTGTTTCTCTCCGTACTCCATTTCTGCTCTTCTTAGTCTGCCTCCGACGCGCAGAATTCCGTCGCCATCAAGGAACGGGAGGAGACGGTACAGTTGCGATCCCTTGAGAGCTTTCTTGGCACTACTCTCGGCTTCCCTCGATAGCTCAGGCTCAATTCTTGCAGTTGTTAGTAGCTCACCAAATGCCGCTTTCTGCGTGGTGCTGATTACGATACGCAGGGCTTGATCGTACTCTTCCAAGGTTGGTGGTCTGAGTTTTCCTTGTACTTTATCTGGTTTACTCCTCGGTTTGGCCGATGTCGCTTCGTCATCTCTCCGGCGCTTAAATTCTCTGACTACAACGATTAGATTTGCGATCGCTCGTTGCAGAGATTTCAGCGAGGAAAACTTCTCAAACCTTTCTGCTCCAAGGTCCGACCTCCTTTCTTTAGTTGTCTTCACTTTGGCGCTGAACACTCCTTTGCGGACTTCAGGGTCCCTTGCGCTGAGTTCGAATGTTTCATCTGCTTGAGGGGTACCCTCTGGTTTTCTGAGGTATTCCGGGCCGGTGAGCCAGCTCGTTTCCATTAGCTTAATGGGGGGTCACGCCGCGCGTCGCTAAGTCCGCGGGGTTTCGTTCACTCTCTACATATCTCCACTGCTCAGGGGTAGATAAACTTCTAATCATCTGTACTCGGTTGGCTACGTAGACGTAGAAACGACGGCTCTCGTTCGTAATGTAGCCTAGTACTACTTTTGAGTCGGTGTAGTACGCTACACCAGCGATCTCCATATCGATCTCCTTGAGGACCTCTTGAGCTGCTTGCACGGCTAGTACTGCTACGCATAGTTCCAGTCGAGGGATGCTTGTCGGGTGCGCTGGGGCAACTCTGGCTTGGCCTTAGACGAGAGAAGTGGACTCTTCGTTCGCTTTGTTAAACTGGCGAAGATAAACAGCTGCTCCTATAGCGTCTTGACTGGCGTCGGAGAAGACATGCAGTTCCGCTTTGGCTACCGTGCCGAAATCCTTCGGGTGGTAACAACGAGGAACGAGCAGGCGCTGTAACTCCGTGAGAGAATCTCTCCAGCGCATCCACCGGTTCATCATTGCGGCAGGGAGGGGGTCGTCCCAGTCCAGTGGGGTGTTGTTCCGGCTGGTCCGGTGGCCCATGGCTACGAGCTGCTGAAGTATCTTTCTCCCATCGAGCATGACTGGCACTGCGAAACCGAGCGGGTCATACACTGAATTGACAATGGACAGGACTCCTCTCCTGGTGAACGGCTTTTCCGGCAGGGTCACTTTAAAGGTGAAGGCGTCCATCTCCAGATTCCAGAAGACTCCGAGTGATCGCTGCGCTGGAAGATTGTCGTGACGCAGATCTAGGTCACGCACGTCCTTAGCTCGATCTTCGGTGGGAAAGGCCTCCATGACCTCTACTGAGTTCGAGACGACTTTGTGAAGACGTAGGTTAGCGGTGACTAGTGAGGCCTGTGCATTTTTCACTAACTCTATTGCTTGTTGAGTGTTCGTTATGGAAACTAAGCCGTCGTCGACGTAGAAGTTGCGGTGAATAAATCTCTTGGCCTCCACGCCGTACTCCTCCTCGCCGTTGGACGCCGTTCTGCGAAGTCCGTAAGTGGCGACTGCGGGACTGGGCCCGTTGCCGAACAGGTGCACGTTCATTCTATACTCCGTTATGGGCTTTGATGGATCGTTGCCTTCGAACCATAGGAAACGAAGGAAGTCCCTATGTGCTGGGTCGACATAGAACGAGTGAAACATCTGCTCCACGTCGCACATTACAGCGATTTTCTCCTTGCGGAACCGCATTAGTACGCCAATGAGATTGTTCATCAGGTCAGGGCCAGGTAAAAACACTTTGTACAGTGAAACCCCTTAAAACTCGATACTGGAGTCGAACACCACTCGGATAGCGTGCTTTGTGTTATGATATGTTGCGAAATGCGGTAAATACCAGGAACGGCCAGGGGGAGGTGGGGCTTCCACAAGTGGAATCTGGGAGGCGTGGCCCTTCTCAATAATCTTTCCCATGAACTCCAGGCAATCTGCTCTCATTTTTGGTTTCCTGGCGAACGTCTTCAGAAGCCCTTGTAAGCGTTGCATGGCTTGGACGCGGTTTTTCGGCATGGTTTGGAACTTATCACGAAATGGTAGCGGCATCTCCCAGTTACCACTCTCGTTCTTGTGTATTCCTGCCTCTATGATCTCCAGAAACAAACGGTCTTCGCGAGAGAGACTAGGTTCGTTGTCGCTTCGCGTAGTCTTGAAGATGCTGTCGGTAACATGCTCCAGGATTGGGTCCTCGACCTTGAATTGGTTTGGACAGGGAACCAGCTCGTAGTTCTTGTCTCCAGTCTCTCGGATTCTCTCCGCGGCGGCGGACAAGCTGGTGAGGCGGGTGAGAACATGTGCAGGCCCGCTTGGGAAATCGAGGCACATCTGACCGCTGATAGTCCATCCGAGGGCTAGTCGTTGCGCCCAGGGGGCTCCTCTTGGGCCGTTTCTAAATTCTCTGACTTTCAACAGCTCGGGCGCGTCCCGACCGATCAGCAGCTGAACCTTTGCGGACTCGTCTAGGGAAGGTATCTCGTGTGCTATGTCGATTAGATGTGGGAAACTTTTTGCCATGTCCGGAGTGGGAATCTCGCTCTTGTCTTGAGGGATTGTGTCGCACTCGGTGAGAGTTGGCAATGGGAACTCTGGTCCGCTGAGCGAGCGCACTGTAATCCCTGGTACCCGCCGACCGTGCTTCTCCTCTTTCTCCCCACTGCATGTGGACAGGAAGTATTTCTCCGGGGGTCCGCTTGCTCCAAGGTAGTCAGCTAACTCGCCGGTGACGAGGGGGCTACTCACCTCCCGCCGGTCCACAGAGCGTGGTGCATTTCGGGTTGACTCCTTCGTTCTCCGATTTAGGCTCCGATTTGGGGGGCAGTTGCCTCTCCTTATGCAGTAAGGCATTATGGCGCCTGTCTCCACAAATAGTACACCTTAGCGGGACGTTACAACGGCTTGCGATATGGGCGGGGCTGAAACATCGAAAGCACAAGCGCGCGTCCTTTATCCACTGTGTGCGTTCCTCTAGAGTTTTAGCTGCAAATGCCTTACACCCCGATAGGTCATGTCTAGTCCTGTCGTGGAACTGGCAGTGCTTGTTTCTTCCGCGACGGCCTTCCCACTTCTCGTTTTCCGAGTCTCCCTTTTTCTCATCGAGGGGCTGCATGTCCATTTTCAACGTTTTCTTCTTCCTGCGGGGTCTCGCCTCTTTATTGGCTAGGAGGTTCAGATTATTCTTGATCTTCGCCTGTTCTTTTACTATTTCGGAAAACCTGGAGAAGGGGGGGGGGGTACGTTCCTCCATTGCGGTCGGAATAATGAGCAATTTCTTTCTCCCATTTGGCGCGGATGAACTGCGGTAATTTCTCCGTTACAGGTTGAATGGCGCTAGGATAATTGAGGCATGCGAGTCCCGGGAGGTAGGTCACTTGACTCCCGATGTCCGCGCAAAGATCCGCAAACTGCTGCAAACTCTCATTATCATGCTCGTTGAACGTAGCTGAGTTGCGCAAGCGCTCCAGCAGTGTGTTGCTAATAACCGCAGTGCTCCCAAAACGCCTCTCCAGTTCTTCCCACAAATCCCTTAGTAACGCAACGGGGTCACGCATTTGTCGCTTCCTGTAATTATCTACTAGGCGCTGTGGTCTTCCGCTAAGTAATTGATTTCCTGTGTTGGGGAAACGTCAGTGTCAATTAGCATGGCTTTGAATGCGGATTTCCAAGGGTGAAAGAGAGTAGGGTCTCCGGAGAACACATCTGGTTGGCATTTCGGCAGGTTTTGTCTAGCTAGCCCGGCAACAATTTGTTGATTTACGACCGTGAGAGAGTCAATTAACTGGCTTCCGCTGTTATCTCTCAAGGGGGTCGATGAGGTAAAGGGTTGTTGATTGAGGGCGGCATTTTGTTGTTCTCCGTGACTGTCGTTTAATTTACGGTCTGAATTAGGATCCGGGCTTAGAGCGTGAGATTGACCTGTCTTTTCCGACATTTTCGGTTTGTGGGGTGGAGATGACGGAGGCTTTGTTCGCTCCGATACAATTTGCGGTTTAGGTGCGGTTTCTGGGCGCGACAGATTTCCTGTGGGCGAGAGGTCGAGCAAGGGAGAAGAATGGACCCATTGTGAGGTGCGCTCCTCTGTCTTAATTTGGGGATCTTTAAACTCTGGCAATTCGAAATCCTCTTCCGAGAGTGCCTCTTCGAAGACTTTAAGTTTAGCGTTCGCTATAGCTGCCCTTTTGTCCGCTCCTAAGATCGCCATCTCCTTTTCGAACTGCGCTCTCTCTCGCTGCCGAATTCTTTCAGTTTCTGCGTCGCGTGTTTTCCGCTCAAGTTCCTCTTCCGCTATTAGGCGCGTGTATTGAGCTTCTTCTTTGGCCGCTTTTGCATCGGCTAGCGCTTGTAGCCTGGCGATGGCGCTGCTCGCTTTAGAGACCGATGAATGACGAGAAGAGACAGATCGCGTCTCTAACAACTTGTTGGATTGTCAACTCATTTTATTCTTTAGTTTCTCTATAACTGAGAGAGCTCGTTTTAAGGTGTCGTATTCTTCTTCGAGTCGAACTTCCTCCACGAAATCACCATACGAATCTTGCTCGTACAGTTCAAACAAGCTCTGTAGCAGCTCTCCGAACTCCTCTGAAGCAGCTGTGAGGTCTCGCGCTAAGGGCGCGATTTCGCTGTCATCTCTTAAGCCATCTACTAATTGCATTACACTAAGGATCCTCCTACGCGATTTGAGAAATTCTTTGCGTTTGTCGTCTATTGCGTTCTGCAGGGCTTTCCGTGTCAGTTTTATTGTTCTTTTACTCCTAGCTCCGCTCTCCTTGGTTCCTCCGGCGCTCGGCTGTCCTCTTACTT